TGAGACAAGTAACACCGTCTACCTAGAGCAATTTTTTGAAACCCTAATTTCTTCGAAAATTCACCTCTCGCAAACTTGCGAAAGCGGCCGTATACTAACAGATTAAGTTAAAGACTAAAGATAAGAATTAAGAACGCCGTATCTGAGTGTGCCGTTCTAAATTCTTTGAAAAGATTTATTTTTTGAAGACATGACTTTCTTACAACATATTAAAATTATAAGATGATGCCTTCACAGTAGTACGAGTCAAAGAGGCAAAACCGAAGAAAAATGTCCAGCTGGTGTAGCATTTTAACACTTCTGCGAGTGACAACGTTGTGATTCCAACTGGGATCTTATTATACTAACAACTCTTAATTCCAGCTAGTCCGATAGTAAATGGTTGACGAAAACTTTTTCACTGCTGAACAAAATTTTTAAGAAAAATCAAAATAATAATTTTTCTATTTGTATTGCTCTGCCTCTGCACTGAATCCTTTTGACACAAACATTCGACACTTAATGCTTGTTCTTTGCAGGAAACATCGTCTTTCCTTAAGCAGCGTTTCTATGACACGATGGAGTTTCTGCGTATCTGCGATGGACATATTTACAAAGAGAAGAATTGTCGGAAGGCATTTTCTTTTCCGTGGTCCTCTTGGAATGCAAAAACCACTGATAATCCTTTCAGATAATTCAGATCTCGGTTGTAAAGATAGTTAGGAACTATGATCAAGCCTAAAAATGTCCTCTAGCCGGCTCTCTCTAACAATCTTTTCAGCATACCTCTATATACCGCCACAAAGATTTTTTCCACGCGCTTTTGGGAATTGCTAATTTGCTACGACTTCGAAGACCGTAAGATGGAAAAAGAAGCTCAAAAATTTTTTCAAAAAAGATAACCTTTGCCAAATTACAAGCCGCTCTCAGAAAGCTTGAAAAGTGGTGTTGGATTAATATTTACCGTTTCATAAATGAGAAAACCTGATACTGTAGCGGATCTGTCGAAGACAGTAGGAACTGCGGAATCTCCTTTTTAACGTCTTACAGGCAAATGAAACGTGCCTTGCTTATTTGCCCAACGGTTCCCTTGACTAGCCTCGTGAGCCATCATCACATATCTCTCAGCGATTTCGCAAATTATGCACTGTTGAAAAGGTTACAGTCAAAGGATACTTGCTGCCAAAAACTTGCAATTAGCGCTTAATATTCAGGTCGAAGGAGTTCAATAAGAAAGCAAAGCAACACAAATCGAAAAAATAATTATTAAATCGTTCCTCCGAAAAATTTTTTTGATTGCTCGATAGCAAAAAGTTTTAATCAAATACTAGTTATTGAGCTAATTAAACTGAAGCACTTTCCGGTATAGCAGTATTCCAACTAAAATCAAAGCTTGTAACGTGCAGAGGCGGTAAAACACTGCGTCAGCTGGAGACTTTTTTCGCTTTTACTTCACTAATCGCATCTTTATTTGTGACACTACAAAGAAACCACCTCTTGACTTTGACATATTATATAAAAGTTATATCCCTTGAAGGGGGCACCTGTTTTTAAAAATTTGAAACGACATATTTCCAGATAAAGTGTTTCTAATTTTTGTTTTCAACCTGATCTTTCCCCTTAATTTATGTGCTCAATCGCTCTACTACATCTGCGTGAGACAAATCTTCAAAAAAAGATCATTAAGATCTATACCAAATGAACAAAATAATAGCTCTCTAAGGATGACCATGTTTAGCAAAAATTGTACTTCCCTTCGTAATTTAAAACATCTAGCTTTGCCGCTCGTGTACTTCTAAAAGCATTCTCCTTTGATTTCGCAGTCAAACACTAGATACTACGAGTTGGCAAAGCTTGAGAAGAAATATGAGAAATTAACCCAAAAAAAGTGTAAGATCCGACACTACATGCTCATATATATATATA